CCCCAAAACCCCAAAACCCCAAAACCCCAAAAACCTCAATAACAGCCTTAAAGTAAAAATTTTCAATAAAATAAAAAGTTCATTAAGTTTTCAATATTAATTCATTAGGTTTTGTGTTTTTTTTTCTTCATTAGACTCTCAGTAGATGTCATTTTTTCTCAGTCATTCATCAAAATTCTAATATTCTTAATCCAGGTAATAATACTTGTTTCCAAATAAAGACTAGCTTTGATAGAAGCTGGTATTTAGATTTCTTTTCTTTTGGTCTACCATTTTCTTAGTTGGTGTCATTAACCCATCTTTCCTTGATTTGTATATGAAATTCTGCTTTTATGACGATTTTTATTCTAGCAACCTTTCTCTTATTTATTCTTCGATTTCTTCTTCATCAGATTGATCTTTTTCCTAAGTATCATTACCATAGCTTCCAAGAGCTCTCACAAATTCTTATTTCATCTCTTCAACTCTTTTTTACTTCTTGGCCAATTTTAATTATTTAGAAAAGGATATTTTATCATCTTCGCTTTCCCTTTCTGAGACATCAAATTTAACATGTCTACTATGATTGTTTCTTCCAACTTTATCTTATTTTTACTATTGTTTTAACAGAGATTTTAAATCCCTCTTTTTCTTATGATTTGGCTCATTTATAATTATCTATGCTTCTTATTAATTTTCCTCTAATTTTAATTCCACAAATAATTTTAAATCGATCTCAGTTTAGGTCTCTGCAAGACCAGTTAGTTTATAAAATTTAAGAAGTTCTGGATTTTTCTTTTAAATCTCAGGTTCAAATAAGACGAATGATTCACTTGCTTCTTCTTCTTCTTGTTAATTTAATTTATCTTCATTATCAATTTGCAGTATTTACTGCTAATAAGGCTATTTTTGATGTTCTAATATTTATAGAGACTTAGATTATTCTTCATCTGTTTTGGTCAGAGATTCTTTGAAGTCAACTGTTGTAGTTAATTTATTTGTAAAGGACATTTAAATAATATTCTCATTCTATAATTCTATGCTTTCAATGCTTTCATCATCTAAATTCTAATACTCTTTTTCATTGTCTTCATATTAAATGCAGGCGTCTACCATTAATGGCTTTGAGTTTAGATGCATTTAAGGTTAAATGATATCTTAGTCATCAATCATAGTCTTATCCTTGGGAGATATCTCTGATGTCTTATCAATCTCGATTAATTAAGGAAGGTTTTGAATTTCACTAACTTCATATAAGTTTTGGACCATACTTTGAATTTCTGATTCATTTTATTGTGGTATTATACTTTATTCGATAATTTAATTTGGTATGAATGATTACTCTTAATCGTAGTTTATGTCATTTTCATCAATATTGATATCTGACTCCGTCATATTTACATCCTAAATTTCTATTTATTTGTCATTATTTTGATATCCAAAAATAACTTGTTATCTCTATTCTTCCAATTCAATTTGATGCTCTTAGCTATTTTGATAGTAGGGATTATCATCCCTAATTAGAGGTGAGTTTTATTACTGATCGATATTTATTTCCACTTAATTTTCGATAAGCTATTAATCAGTGTTTTTATAGTTTTCATTTTAACATGCTGACTATTAAGATTTAATTTCTCTCTCCTTTGGCATTAAATCCTCTTCTAAGTTTATGTCCTTTTAATCTAGATCCATGATAATAATCTCTTCTTTAATATGCATCTTATTAAACTAAAAAGATTGAGAGTCAGTTGAGTTTTAATTTTCAGGGTTGAATAATGTCTTGATCAAGCCAAACCTATCATCCTTCTCTAGATCGCCAGTGGATTTTGCAAAATTAATCTTTGTCTGGACTACATTCTTGGATTTGATTCCTAGAAGCTAATTGATTCTCTTCTAACTAGATTATCCTCCTCCATAAGGTTTCTAATTGCTGCTGCTATTCATCTACTAACTAGGTGTCTTAATCATATGACTTTGATTCATTTATAATTTCTTTACTTTATCTTAAATAGCTAACACCTACCCTTGATTTAAGCCAGTTTATTGCATTATCAACTCTCTAAGTTTCTGAGGATTTTAAAGACTATTGTTTATGTTGATAAAAGTTTTGATTGTAATTTTTTTATCTATAAAGGTCTGATTGTAAGTTTGTAAATTCAAGCCATGTAATATATCTTCCATTTTGCAATCCCGCAAATATAAAATTTTAATTAATCAATCCCAGAATTTATTTTGAAATTTTCTGTCAAATATAAGACATCC